GAGTCTGTACAACTTCAGTAGCCAACCAGGTCTCCAGGTGCTAATGTGCCTGCCAACAGACAGACCATCTTCAGCAAATCAAAAGCTACTGCTTCCGATCTCCTGCGGGCACCATTTCACATGCTTCTGAAGGGCGGGTCAATTGCCACAGGGACAGGGACAAGTACGGCAGACGGGCGCCTACGGCTGAGGTGTGTGAGAGCAACATGGAAAAGCAGGAAATGGAGAGAGAATGAGAGAGCGGGGAAAAGAAACTAACAAATATCCGGACTCACTTGTAATAGCAGATTTCATAGCCCGTCCGCTTCCAGGTGGGTCTTCCGAGAAGAGCCTCCTTCACAGAATACATGGTGGGCTGCATCCCTACACAGAATACAGGCCGGGTTAGTCCTCAGAGGCGAGAGAGCTGTAGCCGGCTGTCTGGTGGCCCTCAAGGTCTGAATTCTGCAGCCTGTGAATGTCACCTTCCACCGGAAGAGAGGCTTTGCAGACATGATTAAAGGCTCTTGAGCCCAGCAGGCGTGGCTCAGTGGTTGAGTGTCGACCTATAGACCAGGAGGTCACAGTTCGATTCCCGGTCAGGGCACACGCCCGGGTTGTGGGCTCGATCCCCAGTGTGGGGCGTGCAGGAGGCAGCCGATCCATGATTCTCTCTCATAGATGTTCTATCTCTCTCTCCCTCTCCCTTCCTCTCTGAAATCAATAAAAATCTTTTTTAAAAAAATAAAAAAAGTTCAAGGCAGGGCAGGGGAGACAGGAAGTAGAGGAGTACCATGGGTGGTATGAACACCCCACGGCAGACTTCGGGTTTCCCTGCCATAGGAGCTTTACCATGCACTGGCCACCGCCTTGCCACACCCGACAACCAAAATGTGTCAACTCAGTCCTGGCCGGTTTGGGTCAGTAGCTAGAGCATCGACCTGTGGACTGAAGGATCCTGGGTCGATTCCGGTCAAGGACATGTACCTCCATTGCAGGCTCCCAACCCTAGTTGGGGGCAAGCGGGAGGCCACCAATGGATGTGTCTCTCTCACATCGATGTTACTCTCTGCCTCTCCCCCCGCCCATCCACTCTCTCCAAAAGTCAGTGGAAAAAATATCCTTGGGTGAGGATTAAAAAATAAAAATATGCGTCAACTCAACTTCAAATGCTTCGGGAGCCCAGCGGGACTCTGGTAAGGATCCAAATGCTCTCAAGATGACACCATCTCTGTGTTACCCAGAAAGCCCCGGCCCCCACCAGCTCCTACCGTAGTTAAACTGGCTGTTGGGCTTCTCGTAGTTGATGATGTTGAAGCGGTACGGGGTGGCGGCCCTCATGCCGCGCACCTTGAAGTTGAACCACTGCTGGTACTGGGTGCAGTTGATGTCAGTGTTGACCAGCAAGTCGTACTCAAACCTGCGGAGGTGGGAGCAAGGGCGGAGGGTTAGAGGTCTTTAAGGGAACCTCCCACACTCCCACACTGAGAATCGGCAGATCTCGGGGGTTCCCGCAGGCAGATCTAAGACCAGGGGCGGATAGCGGGTGAGTGACACTTAGCAGCCACATCTCACAATATCGGACATGGGCTGTGGACATGCCAGGCCAGCGGGGCACAGGGTCTTGGTATCAGAAGCGTTGTTACACGTCCAGTGATTAAACCTCAATCAAGTGTCTAGCGAGCTGGAAGAATGCAAGTGCGCTACGGGCGCGGAGAAATGTCAATCCCGGCTGGTTGGAGACCCTGTGACCATTTAAAGCGAGACATTGCCTGGGAGCCTCAGTCTCCTCACATGGAAAATGAAAATAGTGTCCCAACTTCCAGTGCTGTTCGTAAAGATTAATTAATATGGTGCTTGGCCCAGTTGAGGTGGCTCAGTGGTTAAGCACTAACCTATGAACCAATCAGGAGGTCACGGTTTGATTCCCGGTCAGGGCACAAGTCCGATCCCCAGTGGGGGACGTGCAGGAGGCAGCCGGTCAATGATTCTCTCTCATCATGGATGTTTCTATCTCTCTGTCTCCCTCTCCCTTCCTCTCTGAAATCAATAAAAATATTTTTTTTTAATGCTTGACTTGTGTTTGTGTTTTTTTTTTCAATTGCTTTTGGAGAAGAGAAACAGAGAGAAGCATCGATGTGAAAGAGACACATCGACTGGTTGCCTCCCACACGTGTCCCGACCAGGGCAGGGGAGTGAGCCTGCAACCGAGGTGCGTGCCCTTGCCTGGGAATCGAACCCGAGACCCTTCGGACCTCTGGCCAGCGCTCTAACCACTGAGCACACCGGCCAGGGCCCACGGCCGCTTCCTTTACTTACTCACGCACTTGGATGGCTTTGCGCAGGTTTCCGGACTCGAACTTGGAGGAGAACCGCAGGCAGTTGGGAGCCGTGCCTTGCCTGTGAGGAAGGAGGGGACGGGGCACGGGGCTCAGTGACATGTCTGAGAGGTGAGCTCTCTCTTCTAGACTTTGAAGCCACACGCTCACCCTGATGAGGGTAGGAGCAGGAGGCCTCGTGAACAGGAAACACGCTCCTGTCTCACGGCGCTGACAGAACTCTCCATGCGGCACCCACCTCGCTCCCTTCCACGGACGGTCATGTCCACCTACCGAGGCTCGTCTAAACTGAAGACGACTTTGCCTATCACGTCGCTGGGCTGAAGGAGCCTCCGGATGTCCTCGAATATCTTCACCCTGAGAAGGAAAATTAGAAACGCTTTAAAGGCTGGCCCTCACTCCTTACCCCACTCGTCCAATGATCCTCTTGGGAGTCATCAGAAACATAGGAAAGTTGCCCAGCGGGTGTGGCTCTGTGGTTGGGCGTCAACTCAGGAACCAGAAGGTCGCTGGTTCGATTCCCGGTCAGGCCCCATGCCCAGGTTGTAGGCTCAATCCCCAGTAGAGGGCGTGCACGAGCAGCTGGTCGATGATGTTCCTCTCTCATCGATGTTTCTATCTCTCTATCCCTCTCCCTTCCTCTCTCTCTCTCTAAAAATCAATAAAAACAGCCCTAGCTAGTTAGGTTCAGTGGATAGAGCATCAGCCTACAGACTCAAGGGTCCGGGTTTGATTCTAGTCAAGGACACATGCCTGGGTTGCAGGCTCCATCCCCAGTGAGGGCGTGCAGGAGGCAGCCGATCGATGATTCTCTCTCACCATTGATGTTTCTCTCTCTCTCTCCCTTCCTCTCTGAAATCAATAAGTGAATATCTTTTTTAAAAAAAAGAAAAAATAAAAAACATAGCTCTTGAGTCAGGACCACCCCCACCTTTGGATCCCACGCTTGCGTTCCAGCAGGGGCTCCGGGGAGTGCGATGGGCAGTGGCCCCAGAGGTCAGGGAACGCCGGCGTCTTGAAGTCAGCCACGGACTTGGTGCCTCTGGCTTTGGCCAGATAGACATAGGGGTCGTGGAAGGGCACGTCCTGGGGGTGTGTCTGCAGAAGTTCATGGATTCCGTCCGCAGTGTCCCCAGGGGGAGTGGAGCTGGGAAGGGAGGCGCCTGTCCTAGCGCAGGAGGTCATGTCCATGTCCCAAGCATCCTCTTGGAGGAGAGTCTCAAGGTCAAGGACTTCCTTTCCGGAAGGATCCACCCCAAGCCCGTTGGGCTGGGTGTGCGGTTGCAGGTTCATCCCAGGTCCGTTTTTGGAAATGGGGTGCACGGGGGACCTCCCCCTCTTGGCCTTGCTCAGGAGAGACGTCTCGGGGGCAGCTTCCCTCTCCCGTCCCTCCCTCTCCCGTCCCCGGGAGCTCTGGTCCTCATCCAGGCAACGCTGCTTCAGGGAGGCAGCGGTTGGAATGTGGATGTGGTTGGCGTCAGGGTGGACGTCATCTCCGGGTGTGGGCTCCAGGTCCTTGGGGGGTAAAGCAGACGAGAATGTGTCAGTGTTCCCTTCCAGGGAGACAAGACGACCCCTCCCTTCCTCACTCTCTGGGCACAGACCTCAGCATAAACCCTGTGGATCAAGGAGCTTTCTCCAAGGCCTGCCACAGAAAGACTACGCTTCAAGAGTCAAAGACATGGCCCTGGCCGGTCTGACTCAGTGGATAGAGCATGGGCCTGCGGGCTGAAGGGTCCCGGTTCAATTCCCCTCAAGGGCGTGTACCTCGGTTGCAGGCTCGATCCCCGGCCTTGGTTGGCACTCTTGTAGGAGGCAGCCGATCAATGTTTCCCTCTCACATCAATGTTTCTCTCTCTGTCTCTCCCCCTCCCTCCCTTCCACTCTCTCTAAAAATCAATGGGAAAATATCCAAAAGGTGAGGATTAAAAAAGAGAGAGAGAGATTCAAACAAATGGCAAAATCAAAAAAACTCTTGTTTGCAGGGGCTTTGGGTGGGGCTAGTATCATCCTAAGAAGGACAGGGATGCCTTCTGCCACACCCCCAATACGTTCGTCCGTCTGGTGGAAGAACCTCACTTTTAGGGTCTTCCCAGCACCCCAAGGAAGTGCCTTTTATACACACACACACACACACACACACACACATACACACATACACACACTAGAAGCCTGGTGCACAAATTCGTGCACAGGTGGGATCTGGCTGGCCTGCCCCAGTGGGAGCCCATTGGATCAGGCTGGCCGGGGGGAGGGTCTGTGGGTGGTTGGCCAGCCAGCCCCGCCTCCGATTAGGGTGGAGCGGGAGGCCAATTGGGGTCCGGATCAGACTGTTTGGCTGCCACAGTGCACGTCATAGCCACTGATCATTCTGGTTATTCTGCCATTTTGGTCACTGGGCTTTTATATATATAGATATTTTATTGATTTTTTACAGAGAGGAAGGGAGAGGGATAGAGAGTTAGAAATATCGATGAGAGAGAAACATCGATCAGCTGCCTCCTGCACACTCCCCACTGGGGATGTGCCCACAACAGGGTACATGCCCTTGACCAGAATCAAACCCAGGACCCTTGAGTCTGCAGGCTGATGCTCTATCCACTGAGCCAAACCGGTCAGGGCACAAGGAAGTGCCTTTTGGTTAAGGATCATCCTGATGGTTTGCACAAAGTGTAAACAGTCCTTTACACGGAACTGCAATGTCCTCCCTGACATTTCTTCCTGTGGATCCTCTTTGCTTTCTGGAGTGCAGTAGACGGTACTAACTCCCTCCGACACGGGACTGGCTTGTACCATTAGATACAGCCAAGTTCATGATTTATGGAGAGTCGTCAGCAAGTAGCCAAGGTCAAAAGGCAGGCCCTGACCAGTTTGGCCCAGTGGATAGAGCATCAGCCTGCAGACTGAAGGGTCCCGGGTTCGATTCCGGTCAAGGGCATGTACCTGGGTTGTGGGCACATCCCTGGCAGGGAGTGTACAGGAAGCAGCTGATTGATGATGTTTCTCTCAAATTGATGTTTCTAACTCTCTATCCCTCTCCCTTCCTCTCTATAAAAAATCAATAAAATATATTTTTTTTAAAAAGACCCAAAGGCAGGTCTGAACTACTGGTGGCAGCAACAGCCCCTGGATTCACATGACC